CTCAAGTGAAATTTTTTGGTTCCAAAAATTTCACCTGAGGATGAAACAGAACTTGATAGTTTAATTCAATTTAATTTTAACAATTATATTGAAATTTTTGGCTCTTGTTTCTGAAACATGAGAACTCTTATGTAGCCAAGGAATCATCTTTTTTAAAAAGATAAATATAATTATAATATATATATATATATATATATATATATATATATATATATATATATATATATATATATATATATAGTTTTAAGGTGGGTTATATTTCTGAGTAAATTCTTGAATATGAAGGATTGAGCGTATATAAATTTCTTCAGGCCTGAAAATTGTGGTCAGGTATGAAAGAGACTGTTTGATTTTCACAAATTTAAATGGACTACCTTTTTGTCTTCTTAATTACTGTTCTTTTATTGTTCTCTCCTTAATAATATTTTCTTTTCTCGTTTTCTCTCAAACTCGCGAACGCCTTGCTTCTTAGTGACTTTATTCCCATACTTGGGATGAAATGAATTAAAAAAGGACTATGAGAAAGATATTTAGAATATTAACAATGGCCTTACACATAAAACTTTCATTATCCGGCTTAATCTTTTGTCTGTTTGGGAACTCATTTATTTAATCATTGAGAAGTGCTGAATGATGAATGTGATGGGAGGTCTGAAAATTTTTTTAAAAGGTCCCTGATGGTAGAGAAGGTCCTAGTATATATAGTTGTAAAGAAATATGGGCCAATTACACCCTCTGACATTTGGTTATGGGCTATGATAAAGGATCGTGTGTATAGCAAAAAAAGTTAGAGATATCGAAGACGTCAAGGACAGAACAAAAGGTGTGATATCAAACATTCCCCCGTGAAACGTCAAGGCACGTTTTTGTGCATCAATCTTGCTGGTGGACAGGTGGAGACTGTTTAGTGAACACTGAAAAAATAATTCCTCTCATACTAGTGTTAATATAATTTTGACTCAACTATATATATATATATATATATATATATATATATATATATATATATATATATATATGTATATGTAGTAATAGTAGTACTCGTTTTGAAAAAACTCAGATAGCTCAACTTGTAGATATATATATATATACATCCAAACAGGGCGAAATAAATCGCCGAGTGCCTTAAGTCTTTAGTCCAAAGAAAAAAATACCAAGCGAGTAGTAAGACTAAAACGTACAGTGCTCAGTACGCTAAGTACAGCGGGAATAACTTATATATGTGTGTGTGTGTGTGTGTGTGCGTGCGTAATTTGAGTCTTCATGTATATCTTTGTGTATGTGTCAACACGAGTATATGTATTTAAACACGTCTTTCTGTATATGTGTGTATGTAATTTGATAATTATCACAAATGTTAGATATCGGAGGAACACCCAGGAATTTAATATTAAAAAAGTAGCCTACCTAGGGCAATGGCGCTTTAGTTCGCTTCAAAGTATTCCTCAACCTAGTGTAATGTCTACATTTAAAACTAAACTGCAAATTCCACTTCACCATCTGCTGCCTTATCTCATACTTCGTATTTTCGTTCACAGATTGTAATCTCCCTAGCGACCATCTTCTAACAGCGATAGCCAGAATTCTCTGGGAGTGATTGTAGTGGGTCGGGACTGAGAGACCTGGTGATGCGATATTTTGCCAAAAATCCCTGCATTCACTTATCTACTCGTTCCGTGATTATGAATGTGAAGGTCATACAGAACAGTAACTCATTCAATGGCACCTCGTTACCGACTGAGTACCCCAAAGGAGAGTGTCTGTTCACTCATTCACGATAAAGAAATCTATGATCGGCAGCTAAATTGCATGACTTTTTTCGGGAAATATTCAAAATAGCTGGTTACTTTTCTGGTAGACCTTATATGTACGTTTTTGTATGTGTTTGTATAAAAGCTTAATTTTACTATAAAAAATGTCAACGTTTTCACATTCTCGGTCTTTTGAACAGGAATAGAGGTTTATCCCTTGTTTCCTATTTAACATTGATTCCTTCTACCGTATTTTCTTTATGTAACCCTCTACCTTGAATTACTCTTGGGCCTTGCAAAAGTCAATATCAGTTTGCAGGAACAGATCAAGAGTAAGCAACGAGTCACTATTAGGTTTAAATTCCAATAATAAATTCTAGACATATTTCCTTTAATTAAAATAATCCTGTCCGTTTCCGATTTTCTCCTTAGCTAATTAATATCTATAAAATCCATATAATATAAAAATACTGATGGCAAATACCTTGATTAATTCATTTGTTACGGCTTATCAACACTTTGCAGGTTATTTAAAGCCAGAAAGTATAGTATATATATGTGTGAGAGTGTGTGTGTGTGTGTGTGTGTGTGTGTGTGTGTGTGTGTGTGTGTGTGTGTCTGTTCGTTTATATATTGGATCGGATTTCCTACATTTTTCAACCGATTTCAACAAAACGTCACAGAACTACGTAAAATTACCTTGCGATAGTTCTGACAGTGCCAAAAATGGGAAAAACACAATTATTTTTGCACGAAATCAATTTGAAAACACGATTAAGAGGCATCGCTGTCGCGAGAATGAAAGGGGGACAACTCATATCGAGTTATACTTATAAAACCCAGTGTGTGTGTGTGCGTTTTGTGTGTGTGTG